TAGTCTGAGGGCTCAGAGAGCCCAAGAAAATTTTCTTTTAATCCCTATGGGCTTTATAGTCCATCGATGAGGTTACAGAGCTGGCCTGAAAAGCAGTTTTGTGAAATCATTTACCAAAGGGGAGGGGAAAAAAATCATTACAGTCATCCCTCTGAGGTTCGCAAGTAATAAGCATACTCTATTCTCCTTGAGCCCGGAAGAGCCACGTGGGCTTGATAAATAACTGAGTTTGGCCCAACTGCAGTTCTAAACAGATGTCTGTAAATATTGTAGAAAAGATCCCCCAGAAAGTTGGTGGGTGTTACTAGTGAGTGGCTGTGGACGTTTTTGTTGGGAAACAGGCAACGGCTGTCTCTCTCCCCTCTCTGTGGATGACTAGCCTGCCATAGGAACATATAATCCCTTTGTTTTCCTACGGACTATCTTAACCAATATGGCTTCTTTTAAAGCAGTGTTTCTCAATTTGTGGAGGTTTTGCCCCTCCTCCCTATCCCACTCCGGGGACATTTGACCACGTCTAGTGATATTTTTTATTGTTATGGCTGGCAGTGGGAGGCATTACTGTTGTCTAGTGGGTAGAGACCAGAGATGCTACTAATCCTACAAAGCATAAGGCAACCCCCACCCCTAGCAAAGGATGATTTGGCCAAAATGTCAATTGGGCCCACGTTGTCTTAAAGTAATAATACCTTGTTTTAGTATGTCTTGTTCATTCATTCATTTATTCATCATTCAACACATACTTATTATTGAACATAGAGAATACCCAGGTAGTCCTATCTCTGTGTATTGCTGGATTCATCAGTTCACTTATGTAATGAGTGTTTATTGAGCATCGACTCCAGGCCAGGCACTGGGGTCTTGAATGGCACAGTCAGGGTCTTTCCTCATCTGGGGTTTACTTACTAGTGGAAGGGAGACAAGAGTCTCAACAAGCCAACAGATGAACAAGATCATTTCTACCAGTGATAAATACAATGGAGATTGGTCGAACAGAGTAAAAAGAGCCACCTGGGTGGGTGGCTGTGTAGGAAGGACCCTTCAGGAGGGGCTTATGGAAGGTCTCTCTATTTAGGTCACATTGAAGATGAGATATGAATGGGTGGAAGGAAGCAACTCTGTGAAAATCTGGAGGAGGAGTATTCAAAATACCCCTGTTCCCAAAGGCTTGGGTAGTTTCAGGACCAGGGACACGCAGGCCACTGCAACCCGGATGAAGGAGACAAAGTGGACAGCGAGAAGATGATGAGAGAGGCAGGAGTTAGGACCAAAGCTGTACAGTCCAGGAAAGAATTCAGACTGCAGATCGGGTGTAGTGGGAAGTCACAGAGGGATTTTAAGCAGGGTGGACACGGTCTGGGTTAGGGAGTGATAAGGGTGATAGTGATAAGGTGATAAGTGATAAGGCCCAAGGGTGGGCTGCTGGGTGGAGAATGCCCTGCGCTGGGGCAAAGATGGAAGTGAGGGGCCAGTCAGAAGCTCATGCAGGAGGGAGGCCAGCTTAGACCACAGTGCCATGAGTGTGAAAAGGAGAGCAAGTGGGTGAATTGCGGAAGTATTTGGAATAAAGTCCCCAGACTTGCCTGGATAGATCCCTGACTCAGTCCACCCCGACTGCCAGCCTCAGCTTCCTGCCTCTGGTCAGTGCAGGTCCTCGCAGAGCCTGTCCTGACTTAACTCCCACATGCATGGGGCTCCACTGTCCCCCACTGCCTTACATGAGCAGACCCTCCCTAATGCACGCTGAGCTCAGGTTAGCGCCCCCTTCCCATTCCCAAGTCAGGTCAAGAGCTTCCTTGAATATCAGACTTCTGCCGCTGGAGCCTGGGACCCAGTCTCACAATTTTTGCTTCTTCCCTAGTGGATCATAACCTTGGGGTCCCAATGTGGCACCTCCTGACCATGACCCGTTAGCAGCCTCCCATGGGACTTAGACTAAACTCCAGATTTCTATCTGGGCCCTGCTCACCTACTCCAGTACTCCTTTTTTAAAATTTTTTTTAATTTAAATTCAATTTAATTAACATAAACTATATCACTAGTTTCAGTGGTAGAATTCAGTGATTCATCAGTTTCATACAACACCCAGTGCTCATTACTTCACAAGCCCTCTTTAATGCCCGTCACCCAGTTACCCTTTCCCCTCACCAACCTCCCCTTCAGCAGCCCTCAGTTTGTTCCCAATAGTGAAGAGTCTCTTATGGTTTGCCTCCTTCTCTGTTTTCCTCTTATTTTATTTTTCCTTCCCTTCCCCTAGGTTCACCCGTTTTGTTTCTTAAATTCCACATGAGTGAAATCATATGATATTTATCTTTCTCTGACTGATTTCGCTTAGCATAATACCCTCTAACCCTCTAGTCCCATCCACATCATTGCAAATAGCAAGATTTCATTCTTTTTGATGGCTGAGTGATATTCCACTGTGTGTGTGTGTGTGTACACACACATATATGCCACATCTTCTTTATCCATTCATTTGTCAACGGACATCTGGGCTCTTTCCGCAGTTTAGCTATTGTGGACACTGCTGCTATAAACATTGGGGTGCAGGTGCCCCTTGGAATCACTATGTTTGTATCCTTTGGGTAAACACCATTCCCACACTTGCTCATACCAACCTGTGGAAAGGGGCCACATAAGCCTTGTCCTTTTACTTTTGAGGGTCTCTCTGCCCTGGAGGCACTTTTCTGTAGCTTTCAGTCTCTTTCATGTCGCAGCTCGCATGATACCTAACCTTTCTTGTCTGAAGTCACTGTACCGAATGCATTTTCAATGAGTGCGATACCATCCCCCAAAGGGATAAAAATTGGTTCTTGGAGGATGAAAAAAAATCTTACTCTTTTAATCGGTAAAGCACAGATATACATGTAGGACATAAACAGAAGGACAGCTAGCTAGATGATAGGCAGCTGAATTGATATAGAGATCGATGGTATACCTATGGTATTAAAATATCATAGAGGGGCTTCATCAGGAAAAGAAGTCTAAAAAGTCTCCTGTGAGGGGCAGATAATAAGGAAAAAGGGGTTGAAAACCACTGGTCTGTGAAAACTGTCTTCCCGCTCCACTTACTTCCAACATATACCCTCATTTAATTCCTTTCAGGAACTTATGACAATTTGCAAATACCCTGTTGATTTCTGTTCACTGTCCAGTATTTTCTGCCCCTCCCTCCATCCCTCTAAATGTAAGCTACTTGAAACCCAGGTATTTTGGCTGTCTGTTCATCACTGTGTCCCCAGCATCTGCACAGTGCTGAGCATATAGTAATTATTCAATACCTATTTGTGACCAAGAAATGATTTCAAATACGAGAATAAGGACCCACTGGGTCAACTGGACCCCTCCTGGATTTCAACTCTCACTTAAATGCTTCCCTTTTAAACACTCAGTTTAAGTATAAGCCCCCTTCTTTGTCCCATAGTCAAGTTAATCTCTTAGCCCTGGTCTTGACTACCCCCAGTTTTCTCTCCTCTCTGACCACTGAGAACCAGGAACCATGCAGTCCAGCCCTTCTCTATGCCACTGAGACACCACAGTGAATACCATATGTAAGTCTGACTCAGTAAATTAAAAACGTTTTCAAGGAAAGTATAACAGTAGGCTAGCCATCTTGGAGATTACACAGCAGAGGGAATGCATGATTATCTGATTTAACAAGAAACCGAATCACAGTGAACATCTGCAAAAGAAAAAAAGACTGGAAGGATGCAAGCCAAAGTGTTGGCAATGTTATCTCTGGAATGTGCACTTGCAGTTTATTTTCTCCTTACGCTTCTGTTCTTACTTTAGGACTTTCCTACAATAAGCATGTATTTCTTTTATCAGAAGACACAAGGGTTTTGATGGCTGGGTATTTTTTAAGACCATTCATGATACTGCAGTATCAAAGAAGCAGATTCAGGTGCACTCCTGGTCCATTCACCTAAGACCGGTTCTACTTGATTATGTGGGGACCCCCACAAAGCTTTTTTTAGGGCAATTTCTGTGCTTAGGGGAGCCACTGGATTTCGGCCAACTTAGTTCATTAGGCAAATAGCACCAGCTTTATTGCCAGGACAATACCTACTATCTGTATCACAGAACATTATGTTTGTTAGCTTTTCCAAGGATGTCTGTGGCTCCCCAAAGTACAAAAAAATTCTTGTAAGGCACTCACCCATGCAAAATGCAAAAGCCAAACAAACACAAAACACATTCCTACATATTTTAAGATATTTCTCAGGGGGCTTCACGGCTCCCTGAAGCCAACGGCCTGACCTAGGAAGATTTCTTAGTGAAATGTCTCTTGAAACCTACGTTATACCTCTTTATTTTCTCTGCACAGGTAGCTCCCAAGACTGGCTACCCAAATGTCCAGAACGTCCCTGATCTGGAGGATTTTCTAGACCCTGCCTCCTCCTAGGACATCCCACCTGCCCATGTTTGTGCAGCAAGTTCATGCTTCAGTATCCTGAAAGGTTACATTATGGAGTCTAGATTTTTTTCGTGATCAAGGAACGCTTTCAAATCCTAGAACTTTTGGCAGATCAGTTAACAAACACACTCAGTTCAATACTAGACCCAACAATTCATTCATAATTACAGTGCCCATTGTGACAGCTAACAGCAGTGAGTTTAGCATATAAAACATTTCAGCTCTGAGCCACTGTCTGCCCCAACCTTGATGTCATCTACTCACATGAGGTGATAATATAAATGATGCTGCAGCAATATTCATGCCCTCTGAGAACCCAGGTGGATCGTCCACACCCATGAAAACTTGGTGGCCTATCTGAGAAGGACTCATAGTGGTAGGTTGAGGCACATGGTTTGAGAACCACTATGGAACTTAGAATATTTCTTACATCCAAAGCCCAAACTATAGGACAATGACTTTTAGGACCCTCATTTTAAAACGAACAAACCTGGAGAATAATCTTTGAATAAAAGATTGTATCTGGCTGCCCAAATCTCCCTGGGCTAAAAAGAGATTATTTGCTGGGGGAAAACATTCTTACCTCCTCCAGGGCCCAAAGGGAGTCTACCACGGGCTTGATCTTCTTGTGGTTATAGAGCCCAATGAGTTTGTCCACCACTCCTCGAATGAGGCCTGCACGGCCCTGTTTGAAGAGCAGATTTAAAAGGGAAAATCCCGCGATGACTTTGTTCTCTTCGTAGAGCTTGATGGGGTTCACCTTCTCGACCTGCCACCACTGGAAGGAGAGAAGGTGTCCGTTACAAGGAACCAAAGCCAGCTGTGTTCACAGCATCGTGTGCAGAGAATAGGGCTGCAGTGGGACGGATTCCAACTGGCCAAGGGGTGGTCCTTGTTGGGGTATTTTTTAAGGCAGCTATTTAGCCAGGGATTGCTGTGAGTGCATGGTGATGCTTATGAGCAGAGCACAGGGTCTAGGTGGGAGAGAGAAACAAACTTCCTGAAAACAGCTATCGGGCCACATGTCATCGGAACACTGAGGCCCAGGGTTAGGACTGTCGGCTCTGGAGCTGAATCCTGCTACCACTTGTGCTCCCTGTCCTTCTGTGTGCTTCATATGCCTGGGCTACAGAGAGTGGCAGGGCCATGAAGCCCTCTCAGGCATCTGAAGAGTTTAGCTGATGAATGGTGGGGAAGGAGAGGGGTGGCAGAGAAGTCCACCAAGTGTGGTGGGGACTCAGTGGGATGGTGACCCAGCCACAAGAGCAGCTTTCCTAGGGGGAATGATGGCACAGCTGGAGAGGTGGGTAGGAATCCACCAGAGAAAGAGTGAGGGAACATAATTCAGGCATGATGGAGCGTGAAGCCGTATTGTTGGGACGAAGCCAGCAGTTCCTATCTGAGGGACAGTTGGTAATGTCTGGGGGTGTTTTTGTGGTGGTGACTGGAGGGGAGGGGAAGCTACTGGCATCTAGTGGGTAGAAGCCAGGGGTGCTGGTGAACATCCCACAGTGCACTGGGCAACCCCTCATGACAAAGAGTTATCCAGCCCCAAATGCCAATAGCGCTGAAGTCCTAGATGGGACACGCACACAAGTGGCAAGTGTGGCTATTTCCAGCCTCTCATCCCCCACTTCAGACATGAAAGTAAGTAAATAATCCACTAACAGACTACAGAAATGGTTATCCAACTGTTTTGTCCTGATTTAACTGCATTTTCTTTGGTGCCGGTCAGAATTTAGAAATGCCAAGTTCCAGTTTCTAATGGCTCTAAGGAGAAGTGGTGAATCGTTTAAAAGAGAAGGCAGAGAGGAATGTGATGGGCACTTAGGGACATTCATAATATTTATGTCATTGGGGTGTTTATTTACATCCTGCCTCTTTCCTGAATTGTGGGAGCTCATGAAAGCTCACAAAAGATTTTGATATATATTTTTTAAGTGGGACAATCATATTTTTAGGAAAATAAGTGTGAGAAAGACAAGTCAAAAAAAAAAGGGATAAGGTTCATGCACGAAATTCTTTACTAATGTACATCCCCTGAGGGCCTGGAGGCCAGCTCGAGGAGAGACATGTATTTGGCCATGGGCTGGCTTCCCACAAACACAAAGTAGAGAAATGATTAATGACTCGTTTCATGGTGCATCTGCAATGTCCAAGTAAGTGTTTGTGAAATGAATGCTTGCTAAGTCTGCAATTCCTGCAGCTATGGTTAAGGGAGTTCTAGAGCCAAATGCCTGGTTTTGAATCCCAGTTCTGCCACTTACTAGCTGCGTGCACAACTTTAGGCAAGTCACCTAACCTCTCTGTGCTAAATTTCCCTACTGTATCTCATGGGGTCAATCATGAGGAACAAGTGTGTTAATATATACAAAGTTCTTAGAACAGTGTCTGACCTGGAGTAGGTTTTCTATAAATATAAAGTATTTCTGTTATCTTCGATTTAGAGAGGAGGAGCTCTGAATTGGAGGCAGATTGCTCTCTAGGTGTTAACCATTGTTAACCAATGCTATAGTCTAAAAGCAAATGGCGTGTTTGACAAAGAGTGAGTACCAGCTCTGCAAGAGTTTTAAGGTGGAACATAATTAGGATATCTGAGTGAGAAATTCTTTTATAGGTCCAAGTATGGCTTTATTTTCTAAGCCTTTCTCCAATATATAGAAGAAAATTCCTTTCTAGAACCTCCTAGAACAAAGTCATCATTCCACTCCTTGGCATGCCCTATCTTCATTTTGCTTCTCACTGACCAACTAATATTGGACCTGACCTCTGAAAGGAAATAGTCTTTGTTCTTGACCTCCAACTATGTAGCATTCTTTTAATCAGCACCGCTGTTTCAGGCAGGAGAATCTCAACCTCCATCCTGGCCGTGTTTTTATGAGTGCCTTCACTGAACCTGGGCATACTGCAGTTATTTCATTAACACTGTGTGTTCTGATTGTGCATTTAGGGGAGAAAAGGAAAACACTTCTTACAACTGCATGTAATTTGGGATCAGTTTGGTTACCCACAGCAGGCTGTCAGCATCACGTTAATTACAGCCACAGCAACGAAACAGCTGCAAGTGGCACAAAGCCTATGTTCGTGGGACTTGCTCCAGACAGCATCCTTCATTACACTCCATTCTTGCTCCCTTACAGATTCTGTCATTGCAGTGATCCTTGATCTAAACTCGGAAGTTCAAAGGCAAAGACAGGCCCTTTAATTCTACTGTCACAGGGCAGGGAGTACGAATCATTCCAGAATCAGGGAATGTTTGGGGGTGAAGCCTTGTGCAGCCACAGTGTTGGCACTTAGGGGGCATATGAATACCCCATAGTGCCACCCATAGAATGATTTTTATGGCTTTCCCTGGCCACCCTATTCCAGATGCCTCCACCCCATCCTGCATCCTATTTTGAATCCCTTTCAGAGTTCTTATGACCATTTACAATAACCATCTTATTAATATGTTTTACTTCTTTCAGTTTGTCTCCCTCATTAGAATGTGAGAGTCACAAGGGGCTAATATGTACCCATCTCATTCACTGCAATGCCCTGGTGACTTGCACACATGCAGGTGCTCAGACGGTGCTCACAAAGTGAGTGAACCAATCATGATGCGCTGGCTGCTTAGGAGGCTCAGGGGAGATAAGAGCAAGCTCTCGTGAGAAGCAGCAATTCCCTGTTGGGGGGCAGGGGTAAAAACTGAAGTTCAAGTCCAACTTAGCTTAATTCTAGCAAGTGGGAATATAGGTCGGAGTAGGTTGGACTGCCCAGGGATGTGTTTTCTCAATTGCAAAGTAACCACTACATTCAGAGCATGATTGTTTAAGCTAGTGGTTCACAGATTTGCCTGTGTCTAAAATCACCCAGGGGACTCACTACAATTGTGGGATCCAATTTGGATCTCCAACTCAGTAGAATGGAGATACAGAGAAATCTTAAGGACTCCCAGAAACCTGGTCAGAAACCAACTCAAGCAAATAAAATTCACTTAATGCCAAGTTTATTTTTGACCAATGAATGATTAAAAACACAAAAACTTAAGCAATCTCTGTTGAAATCAAAATAAAGCTTTCTTGAGTTTCTCGGATGCTCCCACCTCTCTGCTTCACTTAGACAAAGCAGCCAAAGTTTATACAGAGTCTTGTTCATGTGTAGTGACCAGGGCGGGAACACAGGGTTTATTGAAAATGAATGATGCAGATGAAGGACAAACAAGGTTTAGGTTATTAGGTCAATGTCTTTATTTGGAAGAGCTCACAACATGCAAATCACGCACTACCATAGTACATTTGACATGTATGGATACTTACTGATTTTGCAAAGCTAAAGAAGCTCTTGGTCTCTCCAGTCACCATGTTGGATGAACCTGCAAATGGAGGATTCCCAAGTCAAGCTATTGCTAATGAAAACCAACATCTCTTGCTACACACAGAAGAATGGCAGTTGTTTGGTCCAGAACTGTCAAGAGCTTGAAAAAACTTTAATGCAGCCTTGGAAAAATGAGGGAAATGAAGGGAGTGGGTGGCATCAAGTTGACTTAATTTTAGCCAAGGGTCACTGGATCAAAGAGAAAGTATTTCTCAAGGTGACCATGTCATTACTTTGGAAAATTGGGCATGTAGCAAAAATGTGATTTAGACCCACTTTCTAATAAAATGATAAGTTGCTTGAAATGTCTTATTGATTCCATTCTTCAAGACTGGGAAATGAAGTCCTATATGAGCCTAACTCATGATTTGAATTTGATTCCTTAACAAGTGAAGGGCTTGGGGCTCTGGTGGGCTGGGCACTTAAGTTGCAGGGAGAGATAGGACTGACCTAGAATTTAGATGGATGGAAAAATGGGGTACAGAAGAGCAGGTGAGAGTGACTATAGGTTCAGGAGCCCAGGAAGTGGTGTGATCAACGTACTAGCTCCAAAGAAATCTGAGCAGAGAGGACAAAACCACTTGAGACAAATGGTATGAGAAACTGTGCTTGGTTAAAGGGAAAGGGCAATATTCAGAGGGAAGATGGGAGATGGTGTTAGGAAGATTTCCTAAGATGCTCTTACAGAGAGAAGAGACCCCTTTGTGTGGTTCTTGGGGATGCAGAGGGGATGAGAGCTCTTAACAGATCAGATGCTATATTGGTGCCTTTTCAACAACTTTCCTGCCTTGTCCCCAAAGATTGGGAATAAGTCCTTCTCAGAGAACCATTATTTAATGAAAAAGCAATGTATATTTGGAACTTCATTATTTGGCCTGGGTAGACTAGTAGCCAGTTAATCACTGTTCTCCTTTTATGGGGTGACTACCACCAAGCATTGTGGTACCAGGCTTTGGTTACTTTGTAATCAGTGTAATCAGTTAGATCCTTGTGAGATGATAAAATTGTATTCTGCCAAGTGACATCATGGAACTGGGGCAAAAATGGAACTGGTGAATAAGAAAGAATAAATTGTCTATCAACATTTGACTCACATGTTAGTCATATCCAATATCCCCACATTGGGCATTGACGCTCACAGCTTCTTTTATCAATAATAGTAATAATTAAAGAATTATGCATCTACTTGCAAAGACTTTCAGCTATGTGGTCACTACTGAAAATACCAGAACACTTCAGCAACGGGAAGTTTATTCCCTCTCTTTCTGTCATAATCATGATGATAAGATGCTTAAATATTTATACCTCTCAAATATCTTTTATAAGCTTCTCAGTGACTAGCAGGGAAATGAATACTTTTTCCTGAGTCATACAGAGCCAAGGCTCAATTTTCTAATGGACCTATAGGGGACAGAAGTGCCAAAAATCTCAAACATTGGATAATCCCAGTATCCTTTGGCTTTGGAATATGATATCTGGCTTCTCAGGTAGTCTTTGACTTTTTAGAGACTAATGTTTAAATTAGTTTACAATCATGTAACAGAAGAGAGGAAGAAGAGAGGGAGGTGGCTCTGTGGTCGCATTCTGCTGGAGAAAATCTCCCAGATATTGTTCATAAATCCCCTCAAACTCAAGAGCATATCAGGGGCTGTAAAAGCATAGGTATGCTGCAACCATTCAGGGTTTCTTTGTGATCAGGATATACAGGAGTAGTTTAGAATAGGAAGGAGTTGTAATTTGCAACTTCATCTCCAGTAGGGAAGAATCTCCCTTAAAACTGCCATATCTTAGCCACCCCTCCCGTCCTACTGTGGGTCCTTCATTCCTTCATTTTTTGAATTTCCTTTGAAGCCATTAATATTTCGCACCTGTGCCACCTTCTGTGGGTCAAGTTAATGACTACACTGTCTTGACCTTCCTTTACCCCTTTTGGAATGAGAAGTATTCATAGGGATAATAGGGCAGTAGGCACATGTGTTACTTTTATAATTGAAAATAACTAATGGCGATAGCAATATTATGGAAAATACTTAAAAAGCCCTCCTGGAGTGCCTGGGTGGCTTAGTCAGTTGAGGGTCCAACTCTTGGTTTTGGCTCAGGTCATGTTCTCATGGGTTGTGAGATCAACCTCCAAGATGGGTTCCACGCCCTGTGGGGAGTCTGCTTGAAGATTCTCTCCCTCTTTCCCCCCCCCAAAATAAATAAATAAATCTTTAAAAAAATTAAGTCCTCCCAATCTCATTACCCCAACATATCAACACATTTTATTCATCAGAGCTTTTGTAAGCATGCGTGCAGTGCTCCCTGTTGCGGACTTACCTTCTTGTCTTCAGCACTTACCATATAAAATATAGGTTCCCAGTGGTTTGAGAAGGCTGAGACCTTTTCCAGTGTTATCCCCACAGAGGCAATCCAAAACAATGTCCACTCCTTCAGGAGAGATTCTAAATGGTGTGAAAACAAAGTAAGATACTGTCACCTCTTAGGGACCAAACTTTTGATTGCTCTCCCTTCCTGTGTCATGTTGTTTACTCCTAGAATCAGAAAGAGCTAGAGCTCTGGGAGTAGCCATAAATAGGCCAGGAGGCCAGGAGGTGGATTTACCTTTCTGGGTTCCACTCAAGAACTTCACAGAGCTGGAGGCAGCTAAAAGTCTGGCTGGTGGCTGATATCAGGAGCCAGCCTGGGTTAGGAGAATGACCGTGGACATCACGCGCATTGAATGAATACATTTGAATTTGTATCTAGCCACCTCTTGCAACTTCTCTGAGCCTTAGCTTTCTCCTTCATAAAGTGGAACAAGCATGTTTCTTTGTGCTGGGGATGAAATGAGGTGTCAAATGCTTAACCCATTGCCAGCCACACAACCATCATTCTAAAGTCAGTCACTCAACAGTTCCTACCTGTGGAGCTTGAGCTATGGGCTAGGCTCTGTCCGAGGTGCTAGAGACAGAGATGGGGGAACAAAACCAACATGCTCCTGTCTTCATGGGGTTTCCAGTCTAGCAGGGATTAGCTTTTCTCCCCTTCTCCCTCTCTCCTCAGTGAAGCACATTAATTTAACTCACAAACTTGTATTCATCCAGTCTCTAGGTTCAATCTAAAATGGAATCTTTGAGGAAGGAGGTTAAATAGACAGGATCTCGGGGCACCTGGTTGGTTCAGTTGGTTAAGCAACTGACTCTTGGTTTTGGCTCAGGGCCTAATCTCAGGGTCCTGGGGTCAAGCCCCATATCAGGCTCCATGCTCAGGGCGAAGTCTGCTTGAGGATTCTCTTTCTCCCTCTCTCTCGCCCCCATTCTCTTTCTCTCTCTCTCTCAAATAAATAAATCTTAAAAAAAAAAGAGAGAGAGAGAGAGAGAGAGGATCTTCCTGTAGAGTAGAAGGCTCCAGAGTAGAGAGAATCCATATTTGTACTGTATTAAGCAGACGAAACATTTTTCGATCCCTTCTTCCATTAATATATTTATACATTCATTGATTCACTCACTCACTCATGCATTTAGCAAACATCTACTGGGCTTCCACTGTTAGAAGATATTATGCTTGTGGGAGGGGGCTGTAAACAGGAAGGCTCTGGGGATTGTAAGGAAGATATTCATGCCCCCAGGGCTCCCAGTTATGGCTAGGCCTTGCTCTGCTCAGACAAGAATGGCATTTCTTCAGATTTATGAGTTTGCAGGATTATCTTGTCTTAGCACACAGCTCAGTATTTCTTCCTCCACCTTCATCCCCAAACAAAGTTCAGGCATTGCAGGCATTGCAGCTCATGTCAACAGCTGGATCCTGTTTTCATAAGTAGAAAATTGCATGTGCATCTCTAGGGTTCAGACACTAAGTCAACTGCCCCATGCCTGAGGACAGCCAAGTTGTGACTTTCAAAAGCTGAGTCATGACCTTCAAAAGCCTTTGAGTCAAGTCCAAACTCCAGTCATTACAAAGACTCATCAAAAATTATCAGCTTAGCTTTTGCCTAATAGAATGCTTATCTGTAGAGGTATGTCTGTTCAAGTCCCACCTATAAATTCAGAACTAGGGAATTAGGCCAGTGGATCTAAAACAACAGTGCATCAGAATCTTCCGTGGGGGCGGGGGGCACTCATTAAAACAGATTGCAATTTGCCCTCCTTCCCCCTCTTCTCCTAGCTTCTGATTCAGTTGGTTTGGGGTGGGCCCCAAAGATGTGCATTTCTAACAGGTTCTCAGGAGATACTGATGCTGCTGATTCTGGATCCACACTTTAGTCTAAGCCAGCTACTCGGGAGCCAGACTGGCTATTTTTTTTATCAATAATTAATTTGTTCATTAAATATTTGGCCCTGGCACTGCACTAGGCACTGGAGGTGCAGGTGTAAGCCCAAACAGATTGGATTTCTCCCCTTTTAGAACTGCTATTAGGTAGATGTTAACCTATAATTACACAAATAAAAATTAAATTGAAATTGGTGTCTAGTGCCACAAGACCATATCAATCTAGAGTTTGCCCAGTCAGGTCTGCCAGAGAATCCATCCCTGGGAAAATGCAAAGTGGAGAAGTTATCTAGGTAAAGAGTGGCAGGAATAATGTTTCAGGTGGGGGGGAACAGCATATGAAAAGGTCCTGTGGTGGGAGAAAGCCCGTGAGCAGGAACACTGGGAAGCAGCCAGTAAAGAAAATGTAAAGAGGTGAGGCCTGAGAGGCAGTTGGGAGCTGGAATACACAGACTCCACTGGTGGGCTCTAGGTTGATGCCTCACACCTGGTGATCAGGTCTCCACCTTACATCATGGGTTGGGTAGCTGTGCGCCTGTATTCCTCACTTCTACCAAGTGTGTTCACTCCTGTGGAAGTAGGACCCCACTCTGCTTCTACGACCAGCCCTCCTGGCCCACCAGGTCTTCCCTGCAAACTCCATTTCCCCAGGACCTCTTTCCTTTAGTGCACGATGCCCACCTGTGCTCAGGAGCAGCCTCCCAAATGCTGGGCTATGCACACCTTTGGGGGTACCTCTGAAGGACCCTGTCCAGACCCAAATGCTCAGATCTTGCCTAATGTTCCTCACATCTGTATTCTGTGAGTGCACATTTCCTCCCATAAACTGCCAGTCACACTTCTTTGGTATTAATTAGCTGCCTCATCTAGGCCTGTTGCTCTGTCCTCTGGTTCTGCAGAAATGCAAGGCAGCCCACAGCAAGGGGTGACCTACAAGCTACCGCCCACTTCCTCATCCTTACTTGCCACTAACTGCTCAGGGCATTCTGACCTTGTAGCAATTCCTAAAATGTTCCTACCTCAGGACCTTCGCACATGCCATAATCTCTGCCACAACAGCCTTTCCCCAGTTCTCCTTAGAGCTGGCTCCTCCTCATCTTTCAGGTCTTATTCACATGTGAACTCCCCAGAAATGCTGTAACTAACCACCCGACCTGGAGCAGCAGCCCCAAATTATCTCTACTTTAGCTCCCTTTGTGCTTTAGCATCTGTACTAAAGACACTTTTCAGTTTGTCATGGGCTGAAATTATTCTATGGTCTCTTCCACCAAAATGTAAGCCCCATGAGACAGGGACCATGTTTGTGCTGCCTGTTTTATCCTCAATCCTCCTTATCCTGCAGGACACAGTGTTAGTTCTCAGCAAATATTGACTGATTATATGAATAGATGATCAAATAAATGCGGAGTGAATGAATGCAGGACAAAGAAGAACATTTTAAGACTGGTGTTCCACATTTCTACGTGTGTGCTTCCTTCAAAGGAAACTCACAGTTTCTGGGCTCTGCTGTATCCCGGGCATTTCAGAATTAATCTTCATGACAAGTCTGAGACAGGCATTTTAACTCCACTTTTTTTGAGGAAGAAATGGAGGTTCTCAGATGCAGCGCCTTGCCCAAGCTTATGTAACTGGTACACCTAGAATTCAAACCTTGGTCCAGCTGAACTCCAGAGCAATGGCCTTGCCACCATTCGGAATGTAAGATCTAATAAGTGTTCCAATCAGTCTAACTATAGAAGCATTGTTTGAGCAAGCAGCTCTGGGAAGCAGTGAATTTAATTTATTCTTTGAAAAATTCTGTTTTAAATGCTGTCTTTAAAAATAAATATAGATATATCCAGAGTTAGACCATGTTACTCCAAACAGATAGGCCAGGAGGTTTCTATTTTGAAGCTGCTTTTTTCTGTCCTAGATTATAGGAGAGGCCCAAGGTCAGGGTCCTACACATTTGTCCTAAATTTCCAGCCACTGGACAACCACTCACTGAGTGCTTACTTCATGCTGGACAGTGTGTGTGCTGAGCTGGGGGTACGCAGATGAGGGCTCAGTTTCCTCCCTGCCATCCAGGAGCTCGTGGATACTAGGGAAGACAGACTAAATGGACAGCCCAGGCAGTCACCACAGGTCCAATGGAGCCACTTGGGGCAGTGGAATAGGATCCTTCTGTTAGGGATGAGCAAGAATTGGTTGGGTGATGAAGGAAAGGCATTTTGCAGAAAACACTGTGACAGGTTGACCCAGGGCAATCAGCACTAAATAGGCCCAAGGAAGAGGCTTTGGGGCACCAACCATGGTAATGAGAGACTCTGTCTGGACACTATCTCCTTCCAGAAGGACCCAAGCATGTCTGCCACAACTGACAACTAACATGGAGCGTTGGGCAGGCATGGGAATATGAATTTCACCTCAGTATTGAGCATTTAGTTTGCCACCTACTTGCTGTGTGACCTCAGGTGGGTTACTTAGCCTCTTAGTGTCTCAGTGTCCCCACCTGTGGAAGGGAATGATGGTGATAACTCCCATCCCAAGCTTCTCTGTGAAGCTTGGATGAGTTGATGCACATGGAACATAGGGCCTGGCGCATGGTAACTTCTGGGTCCATGGTAGCTTTTCTTATTATTTTTTCAGAGTAGGCCAACTTAAAGAGAATTCTTTTAGTTTGGGAAAAGAGTATAAAGGACAGATTGTAAAACCTCAACAACCCAACCATTAACCCCAGCAACCTTCAGGGTGGGTGGAACCAGGCAGCGCAAAAACCATTAGAGCAGAGGCTTGATACCCTTGATGCTCCTAGGAGAGCAGGTCCCACTTTCAAGAGCACTTACTATGTGCCAGGCACAGAGCTAAGCACTTCCTAAGTCCCATCTCCTTGAGGACGTCTCATACCAACCCTATAACTCAAGGGCCATCATTATCCCCACTTAATGGATAAGGAAGCTGAGGCTCCATGGGGTCAGGCAACATACCCTAGGGCCCACTACAGGGAATGAGGAACCTTGATCCATCACATCCAGAAACCAAGTGAGGGCCCCAGAAGCAGGGCAAGGTTTCATACAGTGAGCTGTGGCCAGCCCTGATGACCACCACTACCACCACTAGGCATGCAGGCTCCCAGCAGGGGCTGAGCAAAGCTGGGAGCTGCTCCCTGGGCTTCTTGCTAGAGGGAGATGCTGCAGATCTCCTGTGTTCTTCT